CTCAGACAACAGCGCCAGTGGATTCTGTCTCCGTTTCTTGACTTGAAACTAAATTTGTAGCAGGAGTAGACCAAATACTGTCCCCAAAGATTGTTTGGAATACAGCGAGGCACTTGTGTGTTTATTCGCCGAAGGCCCAGGTTCGATCCCCCACATGGGTGCAATGCGTGAAGCCCAATTCTGGTGTCCCTCAGGGCAATCTCATTAAAATCAAATCTTTGTACTCGCTACCGCCAAACAAAGATCTGAGGACATCCCATTAGGGGTCGCGTCAGAACGACCTTTCATCCGACCAATCAGAGCGTCGCTTACCAGATCATGAAAGTGACAGTCGGAACGTGTTTTCTAATCATGCAACCACGAAATATTTGACACGGGGTATTCCGAACGACAGTTACGGGTTTTATGATTATATCCATACAATCTAGGCCATCTATAAGCCATTCCAGAGTGTTCTTCTTATCAGTTTTAATTTTTTTAATCAAGAATACGTCAAAATATGTTTCGAAGCGTAGTCGCCAGTTTGAAACTAGTGTCGTAAAGCTCGAGAAAGCTGCCTTCTGATTGGCTAATGTCGATTTCTCGTCAGTCATTTCATTGGTCGGTCAAAATTCGAGAAAGGTCGTTCAGACGTGACCCGTAATGGGATGTCCTCAGATCTTTGTTTAGCGGTAGCGAGAACTAAGATCTGATTTAAATGAGATTGCTCTTGGGGGCACGGGTGGCCCAATCGTCTAAGGCGCCGCGATTTGCTGTGCAGAGTTGCGTCCCTTGGGCACCCCAGAAACTTGTGATTGTGGGTTTGAATCCCGGTTCGCCCCGATTACGTTTCTAGGTTTGTCAGCACCATACCCGTGCTCGTGGGTTTCACCGAAGAGGTAAACGTCTAAGACCTGCATCACTTTGGGCTTTCCTTCCACATTAAGCTGACACACCGTGATATAACTGGAATAATGTCAAAAGCGGCGTCAAACCCAACTCACTCACTCAGGAGTCCCCCGCCTTGATAAAACTGGAATATTGCTAAAAGCGGCGTAAAACCATACTCACTCACTCACTTATGCGTTTGCCATATTGCTATGCTATGCAATAGTCTATGATTATCTTGTACTTATACTCAAATTGAATAGATTCGCTCACTAAAATAAATGAATCTATAGTCAGTATAGCCTGTGTTCACTCAGCGTATCAGCGACAGTAATAGATAACCGGCTGACATGAGTTTCTCCGGGGCCCCTTTCACCAGAATAGACTATAGTCGGCCAACTACCCATGCGTTACCAAGTTCCAGTTCTTTATGATATTAACATATTTATTTCCATAAAGTGGAGGGATTGGCAAACAAGCAAATTTTGCTTATCTGAATGCCTCTCCCAAACATGATACGCATACAAATTACAATGTATTAAAGTGATATGAGAAATAGCATACATGATATAATTGACATTAAAGATAATTATTGTTCTGTAAGTGTTTTATTACTGGATTATCTTTCGAAACTACAGCTTAGTTATATTATTTACATCTAGCACAAGTATCATATGTACTTGCCGTAAAAGGCGACTGTGCTTGTCGTTAATGGCGACTACTAACGGGTTCAGGTGGTCAGACTCGCTGACTTGGTTGATGCATGTCATCGATCCCAATTGCGTGGATCGCTGCTCATGATGTCAATCACTGGATTGTCTGGTCCAGACTCGATTATTTACTGGCCGCCGTCATATAGCTGCAATATTGCTGAGTGTGGCATTATACAACAACAAAAAATTTAACCTCTGAAATATGCAACCAATATACTTACTTAAACGAATGAGTGTTCAACTATCAGTAGTTGTGAATAAGCATCGGAGTTTATAAAAGTTGGGATTTATACGACAATAGTTTGGTAATAATTTTCTTTCAAATCTAAAACAAGTATACTGGAACATATGATATTCATTTCCCCTTGTACGCCAGTCACAATTCGGGCAGAGTCTCAATCAAAGGAACATTCTGCCACGACCCGTTTCTACGGACAAAATAGTAGTACTTGTACGAAACTGTAAAACTTGTATTGAAGGACACTTGACTTATCAAAATCATTTCTTCCACAATTAGTACATTAAGTTCCTAAAATGATATATGAAGTGTGATATATCTTACATTTGAATATAATATGTATGACTTCATTCCAATATTTGAAAATCTATGGCTACATTTAACTTCTCGGCCACTCTTCATATATGTCCTCTATTTGACCTTGAACTATTATAATGAATTAAATTGTCCCTGTGATATTTTTTATAAAGTAAATAAAAGTTGTATACCCAGATTGTTCTTTAATTTAGTTATATTAGAAAGAAAACTATAATAAATTTGAATCTCTTCCTTCCTACAAATATCCAAGAATACGAAAATACGAATTATATAGGCCTATATCTTGTGACCTTGAGAAAGGTCATTCCCATGAGTTGATTTTGGTAGACTTTTTTTCCCTGAAAGCTGACATGCTACCAAATAACATAAAGTATGAATTAATTCTGTTGCAATTTTCTTGAGGTTGGCCATTTATTTCGACCAAAATGACCAGACTATCAGCTGCGATGTTGAAGCACATGGAGTCGGGAGTGGGTATGCTTCTGGTGCTAACTTCCGAAACTTTGCAATCTGTAACCGAGACAATGCATCAGTAATACAATTGATCTTTCCAGGGACATGTCTAGCTGAACATGCAAAGTTATTATTCACTGCTTGAAGTGTTAATCTCCGCACAAGGCGCATGATGGTAGGAGATTTAGACTGGCCCTTATTAATGATATCCACAGTGGCTGTATTGTCACAATAAAACCGGATGCACTGTCTGTTCCAATTGTGACCCCACAAAACTGCTGCTACGACAATTGGATAAAGTTCCATCAAGGCAATTGAGATGTCATCGCCAACTTGGTCAAATAGGTCTGTAGGCCAGCGAGCAGAGAACCACTTCCGTTGGAAATATCCACCATATCCTAATGAGGCTGCTGCATCAGTGTAGAGAGTTAAGGTAGGTGCATCCACTGTCTCCATGATGAACATAGATACACCATTCCAACTAGTCAGAAATGTTTTCCACATATGGAAGTCCAATCTACATTGTTGATTGATAGTAACTCTGTCTGTCAATTTGTGAACTGAATGGGCAAGCTGCAGCAAATAGCTGATAAATGATCCTCCTGGTCTAATAACTTGCATGGCAAAGTTCATATGCCCTAACACCACCAACATCTGTCTTTTGGTAACTGTTGTTTGGCGTAACAAGTTGTCAATAATCTGCCTAATCCTGGCTATTTTCTCGGCTGGCAGACTAGCTTCTAATTTCACTGAATCTAAGGTGATTCCCAAATACTCTATGCATGTGGAAGGTCCAACAGTTTTGTGAGATTCCAATGGTATGCACAACTCCAGAAACATTTGCAGTAGAGATTCCATAGATCGTGAACCTTCCTGCAAGGATGAATAAAAACAGATGAAATCATCTAGGAGATGTAGGATGTGATGAATATCGAAGCAATTCTCAGCTATCCAACATATGGCGACTGACAGTTTATCAAATAGCTTTGGACTCGATTTACATCCAAACACAAGCCGAGTATAGTAGTATAGTTGACCTTGCCACCTAATGCCATGGAGATGCCATTGTGAAGGGTGAATAGGAATGAGTTTGAAGGCATCAGTAATGTCTGTCTTACACATGAAGGTACCACGTCCCAGTTGTTTGATAATTACCCCCCGCCGCGCGAAAGCGCGAAGCGGGGGATATAGTATTCACGACCGTCCGTACGTACGTCCGTACGTCCCACCTGTTTGTTGCCGCGATATCTCAAGAACTAAACACTGGATTGTCTTCATATTTGGAACTATGGTGTATATACAGACTCCGCAGACACCAGTCGGTTTTGGTGACCTTGATCCCATTTTCAAGGTCACAGCAGGCAAATCTGCTTTTGGAGTTGGAAAACGGTGTTGCCGCGATATCTCAAGAACTAAACACTGGATTGTCTTCATATTTGGAACTATGGTGTATATACAGACACCGCAGACACCAGTCGGTTTTGGTGACCTTGACCCCATTGTCAAGGTCACAGCAGGCAAATCTGCTTTTGGAGTTAGAAAACGGTGTTGCCGCGATATCTCAAGAACTAATCGCTGGATTGTCTTCATATTTGGAACTATAGTGTATATACAGACACCGCATACACCTGTCAGATTTGGTGACCTTGACCCCATTTTCAAGGTCACAGCAGGCAAATCTGTTTTTGGAGTTGGAAAACGGTGTTGCCACAATATCTCAAGAACTAATCGCTGGATTGTCTTCATATTTGGTACTATGGTGTACAGGCGGGGGATATTTCGTCACTCTGTGACAAATACTTGTTTGAATGGCATCGTCAACTTTGACGTATGTTAATGAGAACTTCTTGTCAATCAGTGAATTTAAGCTGGGATGGTGATTATCCTCATGTGGGGCTGACATGTCAACAATTAGATGCTTCTTTTTTGAATACTTGCCTTCCACCATTCCGACAGGATTGACTCTGTGCACTTGGAAGGGACTGATTTTGAATGGACCTATCAAGTAGCCTTTGGCCAATTCGCTCTGGATTAATTCTGTCACTGCATCAATATTCGGGGCTTGAGTTGATCTCAGGTTGCGACAAATCTTGCTAGTGATAGGAGGATTATCAATGCCTGTAAGAAAACCATTGGATAGTCCATTGAGTAGTTGACGCACCATGGAATGATCTGGATGGTTTTGCAAATAGAGTTCAAGAGTATGGATACATACAGGCGATGGAACTGCGCCCAGTTCCGCACATTGGTCTAGTCACTGATCGCGTTTGGTGCGTCGAGTGTCTTTAGTGTCTCTTGTGGTATATTCCTGTCCCCGTTCCTGCTTGCACTTGCTGCGAGGATGGTTCTTTTTGCATGTTGCACAAACATGTAGGTATCGACATTGGGGAAAAGTACAAGAGTCATCTTGATAGTTGTTGCAAAGCTTCTGTCCTTGGTGGTGTACGATCAGACGGCCTCTGATGTCATGAGTTTGGGAATTTACATAATGTCTACCTGCACTGCGGGAGGCCTGGGATGAGATACCATTCTGACGAGAATCAGTGTTCCATGGGCAAAATTCAGCCTGGTGATCAATGCCTGTACACAAGTTGCATTGTTTGGTTTTCCTGGCTGTAAACACCTTGCGGTAGATTTCTCCGTCTAGTGTTCCCCAATCCAAAGGTTCATTGAATGGTTGAATACTTGCTGCTGCTTTCGCCGAAAACATTTTGTGGTAGGTGTACCAAGCTGTGATGACTTTGGCAGCTACAACAAACACTCGGCTTTCCGGGGAAAGGTTGTATTCTCTCATTACATGTCAATACACTCAGTCAAGTGTAGTTGGCAGCCATGTGGTCTGCTAGCGCACAACACACACTTCCGGCCCTGTTACACGTGCGCACTCATTTATATAGAGACATCGTATGGATAAAGCGAGTGACTGGTTATATGATACTAAAACGCTTCATTCCTCCCCCTTTAGTTAACAACTTGTTGTTTAAGCAATAAGTGAACAATGTTACTAACTCATCAGTCACTGAGAAAGAAATAGTGATCAACTCCAGAGGTTCAATGGAAATTTTCCCATAAAGTTCACTGAAGTATTCTTGAACACTGAAATTCACAAACTTAATGTTCATTCACTTGGTTTCTGAAATAAATGAATTGAGCAAGCACCTTAAAGTTCAATCTGAAAAAAACCCAAAACACTTAACAATGAAATACAGTAGTTTACAGATTTAGTCTATCTGGAGCTCGACGCTCACGATTTGATCTTCTCAACTCAACAGATGAGGACAGTTCTGGACTAGTGTCACATGAAGGTAACCTGGTACGCGGAAATGGCGTGTCTGCGGGTGATACTGGTACAGAACTAGGCTCTGGGAGCTCTAGTGAGAAAGTGATGACAGACTTCGACACTTCACTTTCTTCCAACAATTCTGGGGATTCTGGTTTCACAGCATCGGGGTCCACATAACGCTTGATGAGGTGATCTACATGTCGCCTCGCAATTTTGTTATTTTCCAAGCTGACTTTGAAGGAGATAGGACCTGTACACTGGATTATCTCCCCTGGTAACCATTTAGGCTTACCAAGAAAGTTCCTGACGTAAACAAGATCACCGACAGCGAACTCCCGTGACTTTGTATGTCTATTGTGGTAGTTTGCCTGCTTCTCTTGTTTATGTTGAACTTTAACACCGATGTCAGGGTGAAGCAAGTCAAGATGGGAACGTGGACGTCTTCCCAATAGTAACTGCGCTGGAGATGACCCTGTCGTAGTCTGCGGAGTGTTACGATACCTGAACAGGAATCTTGACACCCTGGTGTTGATGGAACCGCCACTGAGCTTCTTAAATCCCTGTTTGAACGTCTGGACACTCCTCTCTGCCAGTCCATTGGACGCTGGATGGTAAGGGGATGTACAGATGTGTTGAATACCATTTCTCTTGATGAATATAGCAAATTCATCACTTGTGAAACATGTCCCATTATCAGACACTATTGTCTCAGGTAGACCATGAATGGAAAATGTTCTCCGAAGACACTCAAGAGTGGCACTTGTAGTTGCACTGTTGACAGGGAAAACATCCATCCACTTAGAGTGAGAGTCTACGATGATGAGGAACATTTGACCTTGTAAGGGACCTGCATAATCAATGTGCAGACGTGACCATGGTTTGGACGGCCAGTCCCATGGATGTAACTTTGCTTCGCAGGGTGAAGAACGACTCTCCTGACATATGGAACAAGTCCTGACCTTGTTCTCCAGCTCTGAATCAATGCACGGCCACCATACAAGACCTCTGGCAATAGCTTTCATCCTCGCTATTCCAGGGTGAGCTTCATGCAACACATCTACACACTGTTTCCTACCCTGAGGTGGAACCACTACTCTGTTACCCCACAGAATCACACCATCCTTAACACTTAGCTCAGTTTTCTTCTGAATATACGGCTTTAGCTCTGTATCTGGCTTCAGGTTTTCTGGAAAACCACATTCCACTAACTTCTTCACTCTAGCTAACAAGGGATCCTTCCTTGTCCAAAACTGAATTTGTCGCACATTCACTGGGAATTCTGCCATGTTCTCGAGGAGCATTATTGTGTCTCCTGGAACAGGCGGCACAGACACAGAGGTTTGCAGAGGCAATCTGCTCAAACAATCTGCGTTTGCCAACTTTGAGCCTGGTTTATACACAATACTGTAATCATACGCTGCCAGCATCAAGGCCCATCTCTGGAGTCTGGCTGACGCCATCACTGGAATGCCTTTCTCTGCATCAAGTAGACCCATGAGGGGTTTGTGATCTGATAACAGCTGAAATTTCCGTCCGAACAAATACTGGTGGAATTTCTTTATGCCAAACACTATTGCCAGTGCTTCTTTATCAAGCTGTGAATAGTTCTTTTCTGCAGGTGACAAGGAACGTGACGCAAACGCCACAGGCTTCTCAGTACCATCTGGCATGATGTGTGACAGGACGGCACCTACTCCATATGGAGAAGCATCAGCTGCTAAGTTGAGAGGAAGGTCTGGATTGTAGTGAGTCAAGACCTTACACGAAGACAAGTGAGATTTCACCTTTAGAAATACTGTATCATGCTTCTTGGTCCATGACCATGGAGCGTCCTTTTGTAGTAACCCATGTAGTGGCACTAACGTCGTGGAGAGATTTGGCAGGAATCTCTGGTAGTACTGTACCATCCCAAGGAATGACTTTAACTCTGTCACATTCTGAGGAGCTGGTGCGGACACAATAGTGTTTACCTTCTCCTCTAATGGATGCAGTCCCTGTGCGTCAATCCGGTGTCCCAGGTAAGTGACTGAGTCTTTCTTGATGTGACACTTTGAAGCGTTTAGACGCAAACCTGCTTTCTGCAATCTGTCAAGGACTTCATTCAGATTCTTGTTGTGTTCTGCATCATCAACACCTGTGACGAGAATATCATCGAGGTAGACGCACACATGTGGCAAGTCGCTGAGAAGACATTCAATTGTCCGCTGGAAGATAGCAGGAGCTGCCGACACCCCAAAAGGTAATCGTTGGTACTCGTATAGACCTTTATGGGTGTTAATTGTGGTGAGTTTCTTGGAATCATCGTCCAACACTATCTGCTGGTAGGCATTACTCATGTCCAATTTCGTAAACTTGCGACCACCTGAGAGTGATGCAAATAAGTCCTCAATCCTGGGTATTGGGTAACAATCTGGTTTAGCAACCTGGTTGACTGTTAGTTTGTAATCTCCACATATGCGCACTGAAGACTGATCCGACTTCAACACTGGTACGATGGGTGCTGCCCACTCTGAGTACTGCACTGGTTTTATGACACCCTGCTGCTCTAATCGTTCAAGTTCATTCTCAACCTTGTCCCTCAAGGCATAGGCCATGTTCCTGTGCTTGTAGAAGCGTGGTTGTGAAGGAATAGATATGTTAATCTTCACTTTTGTATCTTTCAACTTACCAAGTTCCTCCTTGAAGACATCGGAATGTGCGTTAAGGATACTTTGCACGTCATCACAATCTACTCTGAGAATTGTTCCCCAGTCTAGACGAACATGTCGCAGCCAGTCGCGACCAAAGAGATTAGCTCTTCTCCCTTTCACTACAATCACTGGCAGTTCTGCTGACTGTTTGCCGTAGTTCACTTTCACTGAGCATGAACCAAGCAGAGGTATCTTCTCACCTAGGTAAGTACGTAACAAGGTATGAGGAGGTCCTAGTTTGGGTGGATCTTTCCCTAACGATCTGTAAGTGTCCTCATTAATCACTGAAAATGTTGCACCTGTATCCAGCTCCATGCTTAATGGCTGACCATTAAGTGCTAAATCAATAAACATTGGTGGTTCCTTCTCTCTCCTCCCAACAAAAGGTGTAGAGCTAGTCTCCATCTTGTAAATGTCATATATTTCACTTTCAACATCATCATAGTTATCAGGAGTGACCTGATTTGTTGCTGAACGCTTGTGCTGACCCCGACTTCTACCTTGACCTCTAGATCGATACGAGCCACGTCCACAACGAGAACCTTTACTATTCTGTGACTGATGACATACCTTCCCAATGTGGCCAATCTTACCACAATTGTAACACTTTGAGGTACGAAAATGACAGTCCGGAGATTTGTGATTTCGTAAACCACATCTGTCTCATGGCGGGTAGACAGGAGCATGTTGAGATGATGACATCTTGTGCATGTTACCCCCTGTAGCTGCTGAAACACTTGAAGCACCAACTTTAATATCTTCTACATTCTTTGCTGCCAATTCCATTGACTGTGCTAGTGTATAAGCCTTATTGTAATCCAGAGCTTTCTCTGCTAATAATCTCCTCTGTATTGCATCATTATTAATGCCACAAACTAGTCTGTCTCTAAGTGAATCATCAAGAGTAGTACCAAAGTCACATGTACTTGCCAATTTGCGCAACTCGGAAGCATACGCTGCAACACTCTCTTGAGACTTTCTATCCCTCTTGTGAAATTTAAGTCTTTCAACTATCACTGACGGTGTTGGGTGTTGATGATCGCGCATGACTTTCACTATCTCAGCAAACCTCATTTCCTTAGGTTTCGTAGGAGCGCACAAATTCCGGAGAAGTGTGTAGGCTGTCTTACCCATTTCACTAAGCAGAATAGCCCGTTTCATCACATCATCCTCGTCATCAACACCTCTAGCCGTAAAGTACAAGTCTAACCTCTCACAATAAATGTCCCAGCTGTCAGTCTCTGTATTAAATTCGTAGATCTTCCCGGAGGTAGACGACGCCATGTTTATGGAGCGAGTGAAACACGACGGACGTTAATCACACAAAATGTCCACAAAAACGCTAAGACATCCAGTTTTACCTCGTCGCCAATTTATGTGATGACTTTGGCAGCTACAACAAACACTCGGCTTTCCGGGGAAAGGTTGTATTCTCTCATTACATGTCAATACACTCAGTCAAGTGTAGTCGGCAGCCATGTGGTCTGCTAGCGCACAACACACACTTCCGGCGCTGTTACACGTGCGCACTCATTTATATAGAGACATTGTATGGATAAAGCGAGTGACTGGTTATATGATACTAAAACGCTACACAAGCCGAATCATTGGTTTCATTACTTAGGCCCATAATGATGCGCTGATATTCGTCCAATTCATCCCGAAGCCAGGAGTGTTGTTCTGTCATAATATGCTTGTATCGCAGGAAAGCATTCATAAAATCATTGATTGACATGGCCTGATGGAGACGTTTGTCAGTCTGAGGTTTAAGCTGAATTTCATTGCTGGCATTGTGGATAGTCTGTGGGCCGGTCTGAATCTCATCAGGCATTAATAACAAGGCTAAATTGACATCCTTACCATCTATGATTTGTTGACGTAGGACTGGTGAGATGGTGTCAATTCTTTGTACTGTGTTGGGGTCACGACTTGGACGTCTCGTCCTATCTAAGTTGCCTTGGAGAGCAGTGTACAAGGTAAACTGTCGATGGCTGCCTGAATTCACTGCTGAGGGCTGTCGATATATCATAGACATGGTAGAGATGACAGGATTATTGTCTTGTTCATCCTGATTGGTCACAGTGGCAATGTTGTTCGGCAAGATGGACTGTGTAAGCATAGCCACTGTAGATTGTAAAGCTTGAACATTTTTGGTCAATTCAGCCAAATTCATTTGCTGATTGTCATTGGAGGACGTGTCTTCAGTGTTACATGGACGGATAGTTTCAGTCCGTGGCCCGAGTTGTGACGTATTTGTCGTATCAGCATTAGTATCCTCACTGCTTGTTGACGTCACGGTAGCCGAAGGTACTCTTCTCGGAAGTCGCTGAATACGATTTGTTGGCAATGTGGCTCTGTTCCTGGTATATAAATGCAACAATTGGGCTTTTGTCATAGAGGTAGGCAGGTTGTTAAGTCCAAATTCTTCGGAAATGCGCTTCCTGAGTTTCGAGACATACCAGTTTTGCGGATTAGGGCCTATGATATCAGGATTATCGCTTGCGTAGCGGATGCGGGCCCTGTGGGTACTACGAGGACTTGTGGCTGCATCGTCGTCGACTTGAGCCAGTTGAGGCTGGGCGCCATTGTCTTGGCTTTCGGGCTGTTTGCGTAAGTTACTTCTTTTGGCCTTACGAGGCGCCATCATGAAGTGATTGCGTGCTACAATTGATAGCGGACCTGGTCACAACGACTTGTGAACCTTGCAGGTAAAAATCACGCCGAATGACTTGAAGAAACTGGCAAACTTTGCTACGTCATGAGAAAAAAGCTGCTAACAATGGCACGCAAAACAAACTGATGCGCATGCGTGGAATATAGACATCCTGACAATAGAGATTACTGAGCATGCGCGGATGCCAATACTGACAGAGAAATACTACGTATGTGCAAATGATAAAAACATCCGGACATGATGCACCAGATCAATAAATTACGTATTATGTAGCAATACAAAAATACAATAAATTTTAAAATATAGATTGTGAGGTAACAATGGTTGAAATATGTAGAAACGAAATAATGTTTGCCTTTATAAACTATGCTTAACGACTTAAGCAGCAATCATTGATGTTGGCAACAGAACGAGAACACAATTGTGTGTATAAATTTGGTATATTTGTAGTTTGTAGTTGGACTCAACACATGTGCTGTTGTTTTTTTCTACTTAGAATTAAATTGGATACACATGCTTTTCATGATATTATTTTCATTATATGATATAATTTGAATTGGAATAGGTAAGAACTACAGATTTTTTAGGTGGCAATTCAAGGTAATTTTCTGTGATAGTATGCCAATGGCATGGGATGTTGCTCATAATATCAACCACAGTTTTGTATGCTCCATGACTTGAATATGTATGGGTAAGTTAAGCTCTTGAAGTTATCTAGTGGAAAGAGAGAGCATCTGCCTGGAGAGTGAAAAGGTCTATTGTTCGATCCAGAGCCACGTCATACCAAATAAACTAAAAGATGGTATTTGTTGTTAACCCTGCCTAGCAAACAGTATATGTAGAGGATTAACCACTGTGTTCGGTTGTTACCGAAAAATCCTCGTTCTAATCGTGACAGATTAATCACTCATGTGTAGATTTTTCAGTAACAACCGAACACAGTGGTTAATCCTTTTTATCCCATTACAATACGCCATAAAAAGTCGAGCTCGTAGTTGAAGATTTCCCGTGTTTAGTAACCGCTTGGGATTCCCCCAGCCTTGATTTCGAATATGCTCAGTGAGACAACTGCACCATAAACAGGTAAAAAGGATCTAGCAAAGACAACTCACACGAGTTTTCCGTGACAGGCAAGCCACTTGTTAGCATTCATGTTATGTTTTTTGTTAACTATTAAAAGCTGATGGGAGTAACGTTTTGAGAATTAGTAATGTGATTTGATATTTGTTAATGATTTTGGATTACTCGGCCCATAACTTTATTTGCAGTCGTCTCGCCGTGACTATCATTCTCAATGCGCAACTCTAAATAGGCCCACCTTTTTAGTGTATGTAAATACGTTTTTCGTTTATTTGTACGCTAGAAACAAATGTTATTAACCCAATTAAGAGGAAATTAAATATTGTCTTAAATATTGTGAAATATTGTTAACGAACAACAAGGGCCCAAGGAACTGTGAGCAGGACTGATCAGGAGAGATTCTATAAAAACTCTGGCAACTGATCAGCTCATAAGATCTTCTCAAATCCATCAATGGATTGTAATATTTTTTGACGAATTTTCCTCTTTAAAACTAATTTTACAGTGAATAATTTAATATGTAAAATGATGATTATTTCATGTCTTTTTTTTGTTTTTGTTTTGTTCCTGAACATGGTAAGCACATGTGTTTTTATTAAAAATATTAAAAAAAACTTATTCAATGGACAATCTTCTTTTGAACATAATATCTAACATCATGACACCAAAAATGTTACTAAATGAGTCATCTAATTTACCCATATTTGTGAATGACAAGAAACAATGTGAATTTGACAAGCAAAATAATTTATTTTGTGTGAAACATAAATACATAGGATATATGTAAACAATAAATTATCATTTCAGTAGTTCTACAAATATTTGCATTTTAATACCCTTGTAATTTTACATTGTTATTTTACTGCAACAGTTACCTCCAAACTTTATTCTTTTGTTATTTTATCAGATTAGAAGTTTGAGACTTACTGATAATAGGTAATTTAAAATTAACATTTTCTTCTTTTTATCTTGATGAAAACAAGACATAATAATAAATATGTATCTTAGTGACCTGTTCATATGTGATTTTCTTTGTAAAAAGGATTAAAATTAAAATTAGACATTGCTAATGGAAAGAAATGAGGTTTATGGTAAAATGTTTTTAAGAGGACCTCTTGTTGGTCATTTCTTCATCACCCATAAATTTGAGTTTTTCTTCACTTACCATGTTCTGAAAATTTACACATTAAAATAATTTAAGGTTTCTGATTAAAATAGCGACACAGCTTTCCACTCCCAGGCAGCCAATTAGATTATGTGAAAAAAATAAACCACTGTAAACCTTGTAATGGGAGAATAATAAATAAAAATACATTTCTTATTTTGTCATATGTCCAGTTTATCATCCCAAGAAATGCTAAATAATTATCATTAAAATTAAGCTAACTCTGCATATTGGGGATCTTTATCTGCTATGATAATATAACAATTGCATTATTAAAGAAGTGTTTTTTTCTTCAGAAAACATGGTAAATAATAAATCTTTGGTTTAAAGAATATACTTGAGACAAACATAATTCTACATGTCTTAATGCTCTGTATTGTCTGTTAATTCTGAAAATAATTAACTATGATATTGAGTATCTACCTAAAACTAATAATATGAAATTAATTTTGAGATTATTTCATCCTATCTAAAATACAAAATATATTTTAAGCTGCATAAATGTACATCATTCTTGAAAAAAAAAATTGTTTTTGAAAAAAATACCTAATAAGGTTGATTGGTGCCCACCATCATTATCTTCATCATTTTGTCTGCTCCCTATAAGAAATCAAAATAGTTAAGAAAAAATATATAAATACATATATTACTTTCTTGAGTTTATATAGATTTAGGTATGACTTAATACATTCAAGTTTAAACGGGGTAATGTTGTTTTTTCATAATGAGTTTCTTAATTGTCCTGAGATAGTATGTTTAAATAATTGAAGTCTTCATGTTTAAAAACACCAAATAATTATGGGCCAAAATACGTTAATTATATTGATCTGGATAAACTCCACCCGTTGAAAGGGGAAACAACTGCTGTGGTTGCAAAACATCTTGGTCGTGAGATGTACGGTCCGTCCGGCAAATATTGATCGTTTCCTGCATTAAAATTGGGCATTGCTTTAGATCCAAATTATCTGAGTGTTTATTTTCTTAAAATATGAATTTAAGTCTTAATTATTTTAATATAACTTTGTAATATGTTTTTGATCGATCAGCTCTAGATCAACTCTTTGTTATAACGTGACATTTCTTATGTGGTTGATACTTATTTTAAAAAAAAATACCAAACAATATGGTTTGTTTCACTATTTCATCGGTATTTTTACATGAATTAATTAACTGTTTCATTAGCTTTGTTATTAGCCTTGAAAACGCCCGGTAAAGAATTTACCGGAGTTGCTCACCTGGTCCTGTAATATCGATGCGGTATCTCGCTTCAGTTACCGTCTTCTCATTCTGCAACTGAATCTGGTACATTGGGAAGCCAAAATTCTCTGATATATCTCCACATATCACCCCCCCCTTGTTCCCCCACAAATTTTCTCTCATTCACCAACTTTTGCGGAGATGGAAAACATCGTCACTACGGTAATGTTTTGCCAGCTGGGGATTTCCTGTACTAGACGACCTTGGGTATCCCCGATCCAAAAATAGTGCGTCAATTATTTTTAGCCAGCCAATTAAAACGCGATGACACAACTCTCCACTCTCAGCCAGCCAATCAGATTGGGTGACAAAAAATAAACCACTGCGAATAAACCACTGCTGGCGATTGAAGATCAAGCCCTGTTATGGGAGAATAATGGGATAAAACAAGGACTGGTCAGCTCAGAGTGAAGTATACTGTGACAGCTTGGTGCCTCAATGGGCTAGCACTATAAAACAAGCATTAGTCACGGACAAATACAAGCAGCAAGACACACACAAACACATGCATTCAGGTCGCAATTTGATAGTCTTGATTGTGACCTTAACCCCACATTAACTCACCGTAAAGTCAATGATTTTTGATGCATCATTTGAGCAGGTATGATTACGAAAGTATGTGGTATAGAAAATAATATAAAATATGTATTTTGGCATATCTTGATATTTGATCAATGTAATCCTCACATACTACTTTTCTTAATGCTACAGCAACATCTTTTCTCTAACAACAAGTCCTTAAGGACATGATGGAGCTGAATCTTTGTATGTATGACCCAAGCTATGGTGTCTTACATTTGCACAGACAATTCCAATCCAACTTCAAACATGGCTGCCATTATTTCTTCATAATTCAGGCTAAGCAACAGAGCCAAATTTGGTCAAATGTTAAGAATCTCTATCTCTCCATTGTAGAGTGAAAAACGTCAAATCATGCCTCTTCTTGTTGGTGAACAGTTGGTGGAAGAAGATGTTACTAGAGTACAAGCTTTCTTAAACAAATTCTGCATCCTAAAGGTAAGGAATCACTGAATTTCTTAAGTTGATGGCATTCACTATAGCCTACAGACAGATGTCTTTTTTTTTATCTTGCATATAGATACATATCACAGTATTTCAGGTTATTGCAGGAGGAAAGTTCTGAGTGATGCAGATCTTAGGCCTATATTACATGGGCATGTATGTACTGACACATAATCTGACAGGATTAACCTAGGATTCAAACTCACAATAGACCGATCCAGTCTGTCAATCAAAACTAGCGCATGCGTGAGTTTGATCCAATCAGAAGGCGGGGCATGCTTTGTGGATTTGTCAGATTTACTTCCAGGGTCAAACGATGCCCGAGAAGCGACGTGCCTACGGTTTGTGCTATTTACACTCGTGATATCAAAAATGTATTGCTGGGATTAGATGTATACTGTACCACTACTACAGAGGGAATTTTTTATGTCAAAACGCTGATGCGATTCAACGATCGTCATGACATTAAACTAAATTGTAATGAAAATATTCTCTATTATTTTTACTCATACGTATACCATTATTTTTAACGAAGTGATATTCACCATTTTCACTAAGTTCTTCATTCATTTTACTAGGAGACCAGACTATATACTCTTCTTGGTAATTGGAAAGAAACAATTGATGACCGTATTTGGTTGGTTTGACATCACTGATATAATATATACCCTGTGGTAATTCTCTCCATTTGATTATTTTGTCCCTGGGCATAAATGCTTCGATAGCTTTTTCGAGTTCTTCCTTTGTTGGTTTGTAATTCTCCATTATTATATACTTATGTAAGCATTCGTTTAAATGTGATCCAACGATATGAAGCAATCTAATTTTAATCTCCAACAAGTTCATTGGTTTTGGCACGGAATAATTGACGCGCTTGTTGTCTCCCCTGTTCTATGAACTTTTCTCGTCTTCGCTAATACCACTGGTCTTACGAGAATTTGATCGAGTCTCCTGCTTCATTGCGTTGTATTTGGTGAGTTCTGACAACACTAAACGAAACTCCTCCTCGGATATCTTACAATCAGCCATTGCTGTTGAAATATGGTCCTCAATGCTGTTCAACTTTGCTTCGGCAAGTATCCGAATATTATCATGTTTTAATGCTTTCTTTTGCAACTTACGAGAAATAAATTTTTATAGCTATTCCTGCCAGTCCAGAGACTCCGGCGGCTATTTCCATACCAAGTGCAATAGGTGCCGCGATTATAGTTGATAATAAACCAACACCGGCTACACCGAGTCCCATGCCAGCCGTTACAAGCGCAGTGTCAACTCCGTCGAGAGCATTCACGGCTCTGCGATACTTTTTATACAATCCAAGTCTCAACTCCCTCTCCTTCTCTATTCGATGTTTTATGTCGCTTATTTCATGTAATTGAAATCCATCAACAGTATCCATCTTTTCATCGAGCGCCGGATATAAACTCATAATTTATATTATTATCTCATATAATAGTCTTTAATTGATCTTGCTTCAATGTTTTGAGAGTATACATCAACCTTATTAAATGTATATTATACGGCATAAATATCTTATTAAGAGAAATGCTATCACTTTTAATAATTTGGACCCCCTCAAGGGTTGCAACTGGTGATGCTCCCATATAAATAATACTGCAACGTTGACGTTGGTGTTTCTTGAGCCATTTAATTGATAGATCTGGTAATATTTCTAAGGCATCTTCTGGTGCATCTCCAAACAAGACTTCAATAATAATTGTAGAAAGATCAGGTATGGCATTCAAGTTCTGTTTTATTGTCCCCCGCCACGCGAAAGCGATAAACGGGGGATATAGTATTCACGACCGTCCGTACGTCCGTACGTCCGTACGTCCCACCTGTTTGTTTCCGCGATATCTCAAGAACTAAACACTGGATTGTCTTCATATTTAGAACTATGGTGTATATACAAATTCCGCAGACACCAGTCGGTTTTGGTGACCTTGATCCCATTTTCAAGGTCACAGCAGGCAAATCTGCTTTTTGAGTTGGAAAACGGTGTTGCCGCGATATCTCAAGAACTAAACACTGGATTGTCTCCATATTTGGAACTATCGTGTATATACAGACTCCGCAGACACCAGTTGGTTTTGGTGACCTTGATCCCATTTTCAAGGTCACAGCCGGCAAATCTGCTTTTTGAGTTGGAAAACGGTGTTGCCGCGATATCTCAAGAACTAAACACTGGATTGTTTTCATATTTGGAACTATGGTGTATATACAGACTCCGCAGACACCAGTCGGTTTTGGTGACCTTGACCCAATTTTCAAGGTCACAGCAGGCAAATCTGCTTTTGGAGTTAGAAAACGGTGTTGCCGCGATATCTCAAGAACTAATCGCTGGATTGTCTTCATATTTGGAACTATGGTGTATATACAAACACCGCATACACCAGTCGGTTTTGGTGACCTTGACCCCATTTTCAAGGTCACAGCAGGCAAATCTGTTTTTGGAGTTGGAAAACGGTGTTGCAGCAATTTCTCAAGAACTAATCGCTGGATTGTCTTCATATTTGGTACTTTGGTGTATATACAGGCGGGGGACATTTTGTCACTTTGTGACAAATACTTGTATCATTGAATTCAGTAACCAAATTTAAACTAACATTTTTTTATGCCGGACGACTCAATAACATATGACCTGGGTTTTCTGGCAGGGGAGAGACTAACACACTTTTTCGTTTGATGGGATATAAGCCGTGAGTACGATCCCACTATTTATTATCTTAGTTAAATTATTTGCCTTACCCATCAACACATAAGGTGGGGTAATGACGATATTCAGTAGCCACTCGATTTTTTATTTTGCGCAATTGTATTACATTGTCTAAGGTTATGCGTTCCAGGGCCTAATGAATCAACCATTATTTATAATATGGAGTGTTACACAAAAGTATCCTATATGTACAGGTTGATGTTTTACATCGAATACAGAAATTTTCTGTCTGAAATAATACCCCGCTCTAATTTTTTATATTGTAATGTTGAGAAAGATTCCATTCTACCGCTATTATATTTTTCATCTTTGACTGGAATAGCTCTCAACAGAGTAGAAGGACTTTCGAGTTGAATAATATCCGTCGTACTGATCTGATCAAGATGGATGCACAACTCTTTATAGGGTAATTTAACTCCATGCACTATATCGTTTGGTGGTATTTTTCCCATTCTGCCATCAAATCCAAGTGTTTCTGCTAAGATCTCGACAAGAAGTAAATTCTCTTCTCCAGCGCTTAATTTCAGCATCCCAAATTAACTCATTTTGTGTGAGACTAATTCCATTAGGCTTAAAAATTTCATCATTGAGTGAACATACGCTATAATACCTATCAGGTATAGCAATGCAAGTGTAATCAATACCTAATTCACCTATTAAAAACCAATTATTATATCTCGCAGCATTCATATTGGTCCACCGTGGGTAATACGTTACATCACATAGAGCGACTTCAAGTTGTCCATCCGAGTTATCGATAGTATGAAGCAGTTGAATAGACTGACCATTTGTTATTCCCGGGAGTGTAACATACATATTAAATATACAAAGATACCATATCATAACTTAAATATGAAATCAACTTACCTACTGATCAGTCGATTTTAGTAAGTGCCTCTGGTGCTAATTTTGTTGTTGAATTCCCTGATATCTTTGAAAAATATAGGGTCATGGCAACTAGTGATAAAATGGTGCACAATTGGTTTCCCAATCCAATGCAATTTTGGCCAGTTAAACTTTGCCATATGGTGTGCAACAACAGGATGTGGTGTATCTCTTTATGCCCCAGGATTTGAACTAAATAAGTCTGTTTTATCATTTCACGTGTACTATCAGATTAGACGTATACTTAAAGAAAGTAGTGCTCCATTACCGCAGGATCGAGCATGGAATTCCTCAAATAATCCATACAATAGGTCCGCGTATGAGCGTATTTGTCAGGAATTTAATGTTTCTAAGAGTAAAGATTGGCGTATTAAAGGACTTAACCATGGTCTAGGTGTTCCGTACAGTGGACAAAAAACTGTTAAAGAAGAAAGCGATGATTTAGTTAAAAAAACTCATCAACCATTCGATCCATTTAAGCTGTTACAGAAAAACAATCTTTTTGTAAGATTGCATAATCTTAATCATGGCTGGGAAGTTTCGAGTAACCATTGGAGAGGAGATATTATGAGTTTTAAGGGTGGTTTAGCTTATATTGTTACAAAACCGCAAACGCTTGGAATGAATTTCTTAATGATAAAACAGAAAATAATTTTACTAACCCAGGAGTTGTAAGAGTTAATGAATCAATAAGAACTTATGTATGGGCAATTCTCGGTGCACAATCGCAAACACGAACGGGAATAATTGGTTCTGGGACGGCGCTCGATGCGCAAAAACAGTTTGTAGCAAACGTGGAGGATGCTATTAATTCACCAGTTGACATACCATCTTTTATAAAACATTATCAAGATGTATTACAGTACGCTCAATCCAAAGTAGACTACATTTATGCGCCGGGACTATACATGTCTCCTAGTAATATGGAACTTAAGATCGGTCAAGTGATCGGTTATAATAATAAAATTGTTATTGCTACTGATAAAAAAAAAACAAGTATAAATTCAGATATTAACACCAAATTAATAACGCAAACAAACACAGGCCAAACAGGAATAGTCAAGCCACAGATATCTACTGACGCTCCTACTAACACATCTACTAACACACAACCACAAGTGCCACCACATATTGCAGCTAAAGACGAACAATATATAGATGAAAAAACAGCGCTTATAGTAGGTGGAGTCGCGGCTGGTTTACTCATGATTTGGTTAAATAGTTCTTCGCGGAAACATAAAACAGCCCTGCAATTGCTACGATCAGTGCCCACAAGTTTTGACTAAGCCAAGTGGTGGTCTTTGCTAATAAATTCAAGAGACAGGAAAAAATACTCCCTATTATACCGGGAAGTGCAGACGCGGCTTTCCCAGCGAGCTTTCCCAGTGCTTCT